ACTTTTGTTTCACTCTAGTACCACTACGTGCGAGTTCGATTGATATTCATCCGAATGCAAAATGGAAACAAAATGGAATCACTGTAGCTGGAGGAAATGGACGAGGCAGGGGAATCAATCAACTCTTAGAACCACGAAATTTGTACGTTGATGATGAACAAACAATTTATGTCGCTGATTGTGAAAATCATCGTATCATGGAATGGAAATGTGCTGCAACTAATGGCAATGTGGTTGCCGGTGGAAATGAAAGTGGAAACGGAGCTCATCAGTTAAACCGCCCAGATGATGTGATTATCGACAAAGACAGAGATAGTCTCATCATCAGCGATTACGGGAATCAAAGAGTAGTTCGATGGCCTCGTCGAAACGATACTAGTGGAGAGACTATTCTTTCGAACACCTCTTGTGTGGGTTTGACAAAGGATGAGAGTGGATCTCTCTATGTTGTCGACGATGGAAAACATGAACTGAGACGATATAAAAGTGGTGACACTCAAGGAACAGTGATTGCAGGTGGCAACGGAGAAGGAAATCGTCCCGATCAACTCTACCATCCCCACTACGTATTTATCGATCGAGATCATTCAGTGTATGTGTCTGATTGTTGGAATCATCGTGTAATGAAATGGGAAGAAGGAGCAAAACAAGGCATTGTCGTAGCCGGTGGCCTAGGGCAAGGAAATAGTCTTACACAATTGTCAGGTCCTCAAGGGATCGTTGTCGATCAATTGGGTACTGTCTATGTGGCTGATTATCATAATCATCGGATCATGCGTTGGCCAAAAGGAGCCACACAGGGAAGTGTCATTGCTGGTGGAAATGGTAAAGGAGCTCAGTCGAATCAATTCGATTGTCCCGTAGGTATATCATTCGATCGATATGGCAATCTCTATGTCGTCGAGTTTGGAAATAATCGAGTACAAAAATTTAACATCGAATAAACTCTATGCGATGATTAATTTTATTTTTTTGTTCTTTTTCTCTTACAAATAAATCATGATTGAATGAGAACGAATTAATATTTATTCTATTCACACATGAGTGCGATCAGGAACCATTCTGGTGGAGCCATGGTGAGCGTAAAGCTCATGTATGCATGGGAAGACCCACGTCATTCACACGAACCTATCCAATGTCATGTGTCATTGAGTCTGGAAGATCGATTGTGTGCCACAGACACCAAAGTAATTCCTGATCGAGCTCTTCAGAACTACACGAAAGTCCTTCAGATAAGTGAAGCCTAATTTCAATGAACATGACTCACTCTACTCTCTTAGTAACACTCACTTTGCTTAGTCTCACCCTATTCTCATACTCAAAAGAAAAAAGTATGATAAACGATGACATGATGTGATGACATTCTTGGCTAAACGGAAAAGAAAAAAAATTAATTAATCATTTATATATAGAGAAGAAAACAAGCATCTATCCCCTGTTATCTTTTTTCTCATCGTTTAATATCTAAAATAGGAAAAAAGTCAGACATTAAAAAAATTAGAGGAGGAATTACGGTCATCCTCATAATCTTAACACATAAATTATGAAAAATTCAATCACAGATAGCTCAATATATGTGAGGATAAAGTTTAATTTTTTCCACACATTAATTGTACAAGTTATAATTAGTCGTCAACAACAGTATGAGCAATGACTTACGGGTGAGAGTCACATGTTCCACTGTCTTAACAGCACATGAGAAGAAAAGAATGAAAGAAAAAAAGTTTATTACAGTTCTCATGGTCAGTTGTAAGCACGAAGCAGGCGAACACGTACAAAGTACTCGAGCATATTTTCATTACTCAATTATTTTTTATTTTTCGACAGATCAACAACGTTATTGTGCAGAAATTTTGATCATCAACGGAAAAAGCTTGTTACATATTCGAAAACAAAATTTATATCACATCAGTGCTTTTATGCTTGTTCCCGTAGTTTCAGTAACTACGATATTCAAATGACTCTTTTTGATGTACAAGACATGAATTTATTATCATTATTCAAACTTCTCATATTTTGCATTGATTATGATCACCAAATGAAGAAATAAATGAGTAAGTTTGTTTAAAAGAAACAGAAAGACTAGTTTTTAACTTAGATCGCCATTGCATTATATTTATTTGAAAAAAACTTTTTTTTCAAGATTCTATTTAGCAATAAGAAATCCAGTGTTTTTATCATTTTGAGAACCTCTTCTATTAGAATTATAATCGTAATGAAATAATGAAACAACAAGTTTATTTTCGTATGTTATACTAAATAATACTTGCATTAGCCCACGTCGACTAACGAATATCACATGGCGTGATGAATTTTGACGGAGCGTATGAAGTAATATTATATCATTAATGTCTGTTTTATCTCAATTATCAATAGATGAAACGAGAGTTTTTGAAGATAATCAACTTGTGGTTCAAATTGAACCCTTTCTATCATATCTATTTGAAATTTGCCCTATTGTAGTTAAAAAAATATTTTATTCGCCATTTTATAATAATATCATCAAAAAAATCTTTGATAGAAAAACAAATATTAAATCGTCAAGAACATTTAAACTACGTTCAAAAGATAAACCATAAGCAAAAAAATATGATAAAATTCTTGTAATTCTCTTACATGTTGTTGTTCAGCTATTTTTTGTACATGTATATATCGCATTGTTTATTCTAGGATGATCAGGTACAACAGCAGATCGCACAAAACTGAATAATATAAGTGAGTGTGGATGTTGTTCTTTTCTTCATCCACACCCGCACTCTCCGGTTAGTTCTGGTCGTTTGGGGAGCCCAGAATCATCGTCCAGGGTGGTTTTCACTGAACATTTTTTGGAAACAAAATACTTCAAGCATGAAACTATGCGTAAGACAATCAGTGAAAAGTATTTTTTATTCATGAATAAAAAAATGAAAAATTAGTCAAATCATTTGGATCAAACAGTCTTTGGTTTTGGTATACAATAGTGTATACTATGACGAGATTTAGTTAGATTTAATATATAGTTTTCACGAATACCATAACCTCCATGTCTAAGATATGTATAATTCTTTTCAATCCTACCAGATGAAATACCGCAATTAATTAAAGAATTAATAGCAGTTATTAAAGGTCTAGACATTGGAGTAATAGTATAATCACCAATAACACCGATCCCTTAAAAATAAAAAATTAAATTATTCCTCTCTGTGAATTTTCAAAACGTACATACCAATTGCTTTGTCATTATAACCGTAGCAATGACTACCCTTATATTTCCATCCTCTACCTTCATATATATGACCATCACCACCTACTAAAAAATTATAGCCAATATCATCCCATCCATTCGTAATCATATGAAATTTTTGGAAGTGTTGTATTATTGATATACAAGAATAGTGATTTTCACAATCGTTACCAGTTGTATGAAGTATAGCAACATAAGAAACATGTGTTGATAAATTAGTATAATTATTTTTTGGTTCAGTAGCATTCCAAACAGATCGGTTTACAATGTTTGAACAGCTACTTTTCAACCAATCTAAAAAAACAATATTTAGCCAGCCTGACAACTCTCCCTGGCTACAATATACTAAACACATTATTTTTTCGATTACTTCTCTAAACTATTGTTGTTTGGCATTGTATTTCTATCACAAATACATGATTGATTACTCAATTTATGCTGAAAGTTTCAACCCTATAGAATGAGAACTTGTTGAGAAAACTGCAAATATTTCTTACGTACTCATGTGTCACTAAAACAAAAATTTGTTGCTCTGTATATTTCTCTGTTACTTTATATTTCATTTAAGATCTTGAGTAGTTGATAGTTGTCTCTCAAGCGTGGCTTGCTGATGGAAACATCTCGAGATATTTTCATCAACAAGTCATGCTCGAGAGGCAACTATCAACTACTCAAGATCTTAAATGAAATATAAAGTAACAGAGAAATATGCAGAGTAACAAGTTTTTGTTTTAGTGACACATGAGTACGTAAGAAATATTTGCAGTTTTCTCAACAAGTTCTCATTCTATAGGGTTGAAACTTTCAGCATAAATTGAGTAATCAATCATGTATTTGTGATAGAAATACGATACCAAACAACAATAGTTTAGAGAAGTAATCGAAAAAATAAGGTGTTTAGTGTATTTTGGTGAGGGAATATAAATTATATTATGTAGTACCTTCTAGTGTTGTTTTTTCTTGAGTTTGTATTTTAATAATTATAACAAAACTTATAGCCATAATCAAGATTAAAATAATAAATGGTGCAATACTGATACATAAACATTGTGATGTGGTAATGTTTTTTCTTTTCTTTGTTTGATTTTGAAGATTTGTCAGTAGTTTACCTAAAGAATCCAGAAACGCCTTACATATCTCTTCGAAAATTTTATCTTTCCCTCTACTGACAAGAAGGAAACACTAAAAAATAATGAATGTGGTGTGAAGCACAGCATTCATGTAGTTCTTCATGTATTTTTTTAATACGGTGCACTAACATTGTATTCGTACATTTCTCAGCATCTTTTTATTATTACGCTTGCTAGATTGAATTTGTCGACATCGATATTGCACACTTCGTAAGGCGATGATCTATAGATTGGAGAGTCGATAGACATCCGTTGGAACGTTGTCGAAAACTCCCATCTTTCGAGATGCTATAAACATTTTAGGATTTTCAATACATTGTTTTGTTCGTCTAGGATGAGCTTCGCAAATGGGTGAATTTTGTTTTCGGACGTTGTTTTATTCCAGATTATTAAAAGCGAGAGTTCTTCTAACGCAGACTAACTACAGTTCCTCATCGTATTCAAGATATTAGAACAGGTAAAATGGTACGTGGAAGCTATACATTAAGCATCATATTTCGCACTGCAGACGAAACCTGTGCGTTAAAAATGTCAAACACAAATAAAATCGATTATCGAATGTGAATCAATACTATTCCTAAAAACCACAGTATTCTTTACAGTGTGAAGAGCTGTATGAAAATGAGAATAATTTATTTTTAATGGTATTACTTACGTCTCTCTTTTCTAGTATTTATTTGTTCACCGTCTTCGCATTCTTCTAATTCAATTTCAACTAATACTGGTGGACACAGTTTTGGACTATTATCAATTCTATCTTTAATTTGAAATACTGAAAATGGCAATATTAACACTTCTTTTTCATCTTCTACTGTTGATATATGTTCAATATCAATAGCTGTTTGATTTTGTTTAATTGTATATTTTAATAAAACAGATACTTGTACCAAATCATGATGATCTGATGTTTGTTGTAAAATATTTTGTTCGCTATTATCAGCAAACATTTTAGCAACTGAAGGATTTTTTGATGTTGACACAAATGATCGATTTAATATATGAGTACCAATAGTATAGCGTTCTAAATCATTTCTTGTCATTAATAAACCACGATAAGCAATACCTTTATATTTATATTTATGTATATCTGGATGATTAATTAATAAGGTTACAATATGTACTAAACAATTAATTAAATGATATTTTGTTGGTGAAGATGAATAGGATGATGTATCAAAATAATCTAATATATACAATGCTAGATGTTTATTAAGAACACGATAAAAATTATTTGTTAATGTATAAGCTTTAATAAAATATTTTAAATAATTTTGTTCTTGAATAGCTTGTTTGAAAAAAATTCTAATTTTTTTGCTTCATTTCTTGGAAATTGTTCTTGCTGAATTAAATATTCATTTAAGTAATATTCAATTATTTCAATTAATAATTTAGTTATTAAATGATGTTGATTATCATAAGTTTTGTACAAATCAATTTGTTCACGAAATTGTTTACGTTTTTCTATTAAATTATTACTAATTAATGACGATTCAATATAATCATAATGTTGCATTTCTTCATGAGAATGAAATAAATTCGAATTTTTAAGAAATAATTTTTTTATTTCATCCATTTTAGATTCACCATAGGATGTTAATTGATATGAAATATTTTCAAATGATTTTACTGTACTATTTGTTAATAATAATTGAACAGCTTCATTGTATTCATAAATATTCGCAACATGTAATGTCCTAATACCATAAGGACCCATTCGATTTATCGTTGTAATATTATTATGAAATTTGAAATATTTGTTAATTTGATTATCTTTATGAATATCATATAAACTCATGTTTAATGGCATCATCTGTTCACTAGCACTTTCTGTCATCTAAAAGCAGAAGAAATGTAATGAGTGCTGGATCGATAGAGTCAAAGAGTCAAAGGTATTGCGACTTTTATGTTTGGATATACAAGATTTAAACAATACGATTCTTTCATTTGAAATTACACCGATAATGCAAAAGATCCAATTAAAATCGCTTCACTTTCTCTTTGTTTATCTCGAGACGCTAGATCGAATTTTTTCGTCTGCTCTTTCTATTCACAAACAAAAGGTTATCGTTATTAATGTGAGAAAGAAAAAAAATGTCCACTTCCTCGCTATTCGAAAATAGAATAGATTATGGATGAAAGTTCAATAAGTCTACATTTTTTTTGTCTATCTGCATGCATTAAATCAGAGACAATTTTTCTTCTCGGTCGCCTAAATTAAAAGAAGAAAACTGCGCGTCAAAGATCCGTCAGAAAGAATGATATTTGCTTTTTGTTGTCTTCATGTGCATGCAGTTAGCAGAATATCTTTTAAACGCGTCTGAATGTGTTACAAAGCTTTCTTTGAACGTATTTGATAGGAGTTTTCGCTAATCGTAATCAGCCGCATTTTTATGTAGATCATTCTCTACGTAGTTTTAATATGAAACGCATTTGCATGGCATCAAATTTGACAAGCATAACGTACATAAACCCATAAGGGTTGGGTGTGGGACTGGAGACTTTTCATCATTCAGATCCACACCCACATCTACACTCTCCCCAATAACTTGATAATCGAGATGATATTGATCGCCGTCTAGCCTGACATCAAGACTGTTCTGAAAATTACATGTCATATTGTTGAATAGATCTCAATAAGAATTTTCGTTTGATGTGTGAACTAGCTCAAGAAAGTTAATGGAGCCTCAAATTAATGAAGAAAAGATAGTTAAAGAAAAGAATGATTTGAACTTCAATCTCAAGGAAGCGCTCCATAGAAACATTCTAATGCAGTCGAATTAGTAATCGTAGATGATATTATCAAAATTTATCGAGTATACATTATTAGAAAGTGTCTACTGATAATTTTAAGACACTGTTTTGCTACGATAGACAACAGTGTGAAAACGGCAGTCGTAACGGCAATTGTTTACGGGCTGTTCTATACGATATGAGACTCTTAATAATATGAATAAACATAACGAAAATGAAATTTATTTAAAGTGTATTGATATCATTCGACATAATAGAAGAAAAAACATGTTCAAACATAAGTTTTGTCACATTTTTAAGATGCATTATTTATGATATATGTGATGAAAGATAAACAAAGACAAAGCTAACAAATATGGATTATGTATATTCAATGATACATTTCAATTTTCAATGTTTTAAACAACACAATGAGAATAAAACTGATATATATTTAATGTATCTTTCGAGTAAACCTACAATGTGAAAAAATGTCAATACTAATAAATGACGATTAGTTTTATTATATAAGGTTTATTTTATTTCATTAATATAAAAACCCTTATCCCATTACATTATTAAATTAATGTGTTATTCAACTTATAACTTCATTCTTTGATTAGTTTTTTGACATAACTTAATTTGATATTGATTCAATTTTTTTTTTTGAGTTTATCAACATATTCTTGTATCTCAGTTACATTTGGATGTTGAGACCCGAGTGTGTCACATCTTGTATGATATGTTTGTTCAGCATATTCTATAGCTTCTTTATATCTCTGAAGATGATCAAGTGTTTTTACTGTTTCATAATAAATTTCGTGAATCGAAAGATAATCAGATGGTATTGCTTTTTGTTCACTTTCAATTGCCTTTTGATAATAAGAAAGTGCACGTGGATCATCTTTCATTAACTTTAATGCATCACCAAGAAGTTTATTAGTGAATTCCAATTCTAGAGAATCTTTTGAAAGAAATTTTTCTTGAATTTGAAGTGCATTTTCTAAATAAAAAAAATCGCACGTGAATAATCTTCCATTTGTAAATATCATTGATCAATTTGATTATAAGTGAAAACTAATTCTAAACTTCCAGACAGAAGAGATCTTTGTTGTATTTCAAGTACTTTTTCATAATGAATAAAAGCTTGATTAAAATCTTCCATAAATTCATATACTTCACCAATACCAATATTAGTTTCTGCTATTGAAGGATCAATTGATGAAAAATTTTCAAGACGAATTTTTAGTGAAACATTATAGTTCTTGAGTGCTTCATCAAATTTTTCTTGATAACATAAAATTTCTTCAATAGAACAATAAAGAGTACTCATTAATTTATATTGAGATTGACGTAATTGAAGAGCTTTATTGAGAACATATTGAAATGTTTCTAATGTCTGATCATGCTGACCTTGACCTTGATAAGTCTGACCAATATTCAGATAAATACCAGAAAGATCTTGATCACAATCTGGAAGTTTGTTTAAATAAATATCCAGATACTTTTGTAAATGAAAAAGTGCATTTGAATAATCTCCATTTTACATTTTAATAAATTCACTAAGTTGATAAATATGATTAAGTTGCGTTCAATCATCGTTCGATATTTTCTCAAATAATATGTTGACATAATTCATCAGCTATATCAAAAATTCCCATTTCAATCATTAAAATAGCAAGTTCATGCTATCCTGTTCGTCCATCAGCAAGATCTTCACGAATAGATTCAGCTACACGCTTTAATTGTTGATCATCATTATTTGTTAAAGATAAATTAATTTGCCATAATTTATCTTCGATCTGTTATATTTCTCCAATTCTAAATACCATATTCATTGAGAAAAGAATTTCTTTTTCAGCTGGAAAAAAGCTAATATTTTGCATTGAAGCAACAGGATTACTGGCATTTGCAGGATTAACTTCCATTTGAAATAAAACACACGTTTTACTTGAATCGTTTTGAGATTTTTGAGCAAATTCTAATGCTACTTATCTCTCGGTACTAGTGGAAAGAAAAATGTTGAATGATATAAGTCCTCCCTAATTTTTTTCTCATTTGTTCAAATTCTTCATTTATTATCCTTTGTCCTCGATAAGCATTAAATGAAGGAGATTCATTTAACTTTTGCACATACACTTATACAATCTGTTTATGAGCATCACGTACAAAAAAAGTCATTTTATTAATTATTTCAATATCTTGATTTCGTAAGGCTCTGTTGAGCATTTTATAAACGAACCCTTCTCTACTATATCATCATAATGGGGATTGTTTTAAATAATCTCGATCAAATTCATTAATGAATTCTAATTCTGAATCATTTTGAGGATATTGTTCACGACAAAATTCAATAAGTTTTTGTTTTTCTGTGTCTTCTTTTTCTATATCAATAAGAATTTCTTTAAGTAATTGTGAATATATAAATGTTGGATCAATTTCATGTGATTTCATATTTGATGATGGTGCAAGAATAGTAACCGATGTTAAATTAGCTTCATATTGATGAATATCTTGTTTTAGTACGTCATATACAGATACAATTTCAGTAAAAACACCTTTTATTTTTTCATAGCTTTTAGACCATTGTTCATGTTTAGACTCATCACTACAAAATATATAGACAGATTCGACTTGATTCAATTCATGAATGCGAGGAATGATCTCTTGATCAAATGAGCCTGAAACAATCAAACACACTCTTTCATCTTTTGACTTTACCAAGAAAATCCAAGCAACGATCAGCATCAGTAAATATTTTATTGGCATTAACGATACATCGTAGATGAGAAATAGAATTTTGATAATCACTATTCGATTCATCAATTTTAGGATCTAACCAGATAATAATAAAATTTTCAACAACACGAGGTTGGAGTTTATCTGACGGATTATTTTCAAGTGTCTCTTCTCGATTTATCAAAGTTCGTCTTACATTCGAAATAGAAAAAAGAATTGATCGCGCTAATCGTCAACTGGTAAAATCCATTTATTTCAATATATCACTTTATTATTTGAGCACTGATGTAATAACAACTTTTTAATGATTTGACATTATTAAATAATCTATAAAAATATAAAGAAGAAAATGAGTATTATTATATTAGATGAGATAAATAAAATATCTATTTTAAATATAGTATTTTCTTCAATATAAATTATAACCGTTATTTGTAAATAATGAATGTTGATCTCGAATAATTTCTTAATTCGTGCTGCACACATTGGAATAAGATCTCAGTTTTTTTTCTCGTGCATTTTTTTAATTTTCAAACTGCATTTGATATTCAACATAAAATATATCAAAAGATACTGTACGTTCTGACTTTTCTTTCGATATATAGTTAGATTAAAAAATAAAATAAATATAGTAATAAACATAAACTATAGTATTTGCCAAGATTTAGAAATTGAATTCCAACGAACTTTCTTAAATGCATATACTACATCGATATTTAGAATGTGGAATTTGCTCGGTTTCGATTGAAGTCTATATTGATTTCCATTTAATTTCTAATTAATTGTCTAAACTAGATATGCATAAGATATGTCTAATATTTTTCCTCCTCTTTAAATTTAGTGTTCTTCTCTTATGTATCTTTGGTATATTTATGTCTATCTATTTTCTTAGTAGTACAATAAATAGAGACAGATTATGAGAACATCAACGAAAAAAATGCGGAAAAAAGGAATGGAAATTTGTGTAAAAATGGAAAGTGATAGTGAATATATTGGACATGAAATATCTTTAGACAATTTTTTATAAAGAAATAATCTTAATGAGTACATGTTTGAATGGATCAATAACTTTTTTGTGGAGGAGTTTTCTCGCTAAAATCATTGATACACGTTAAATGTGCAACATTGTTAATGAAAAATAATAATTTGAGAGTGACTTGGATTGAGTGATTTTCGTGTAAAGGTCAATTTGATCTCGTTGACATTATTTTCCGTCATAGATATGTGTTACATGATCCAACACAACTCAAATCGATCTCACTTGATTTATTTTTAATAGTCCGACATGATTCAGACTCTGTTTTGAATCAATACAAATTCTTATAATAAAAATATAATCGATTATAGAACGTAAACATAGTTGTTAACTTAGTCATTTGAAAACCAAAACTATGAGTTTGACAATCAGTGAACGGCTTTTTAAAAATTAAAGTTTTATACCGTCATCGGTAGTTTTATCTAATCCAGTCACTATTTAAAACTAAATAAGAAAAATCTTACCATTCAAACCTTCTGTGTGTATGTGTTTAATGAAATGAAACGAAATAAGTGTAATCGCTGATCAATCCATATAATTATATTATGCTTGACTGATTGGATTATGATAAAAAAGAGAGAACAATGGTTTATTAAAAAAATCAAACACGAGCATAGTTACCTGTATACATATAATACTTGTTTATTTATTGTTAAATCATATAAATCATTCGACCAAATTCAACATTTTATCTCTTCTAACATTTGTTTTTATGTTTTTTTTGTTTTTCATTACTTGTTTGTAATTATACATCCTGTAATATATGCTACCATTCGATTTTTTCATTGTCGTTAAAAATGTTAGTAAAATGAACAGACATGAAATTATGACGTTTATCAGAATCTTTCTTCGAAATACTTTTTTTAACCAGAATCAATTAATAATATTAAATCATTACTTTTCGCAATAGAATAATGTATTTTAATAAACTTTCATAATAATTCATTAAATGTAATAGTAAACTATGAGAATTAAAATAATAAAAAGGACACAGAATTCGATGGAGAATTAATCAATTTATTATTAATGAACGTCAACAAACAGAGATTATTTATATATTATTATTCATAACCTGTTTCGACCTCACGAAAGGATAGAAATCAGATTAGATATGATTTTAGTTTGAGTAGAAAATCCTTTTTCTAGTCATAGAAAAAAATCAAATTTAAAATTCATCTGATTTAAATCCTTTAGCAACATCGAAACCACGTATGAATTCTAATAATAATATCGTTTCAGTTTGATTTATGATTGATTAACAATATTGATAAAGATTATACAATAAAAATTATTCATATTCACAGTTTTTATATTCAGATTATTTTCTAAAATAATATTTCACTTAAGGTATGGCTTATGCAAAATTCAAGCAATATTTTTGCATTTTTTCACACATGGTTGGACAGAGCTTGTCGAGCTGAGTAAGAATAGATGTGGTTTTTTTCGAAAGACTTTTGATACAAAATTCCAAGCTTTTTCAATTGTGCTGAATGGTCCATTTTTTCAGAAACAGCATTTTTCTATGCTAAAAATCTGATACTTTTTTTTAGATTTAAAAATTTTTTTCTATACCATTTGTATTATGAAACTGGTATATTTAGATTCGCCATGAAAAAGGGAACGCATGGACCTCTTATTCAGTCACATCCTCATTTTAAGATCAAATGATAGGTATATGAATATAAATTTAATTCGTAAACGTTGCCTATTCTGATGAGAGAATATGTTCTTTCTTTTCCTAATCACGAATTTGAACAGTTATTTGTACATGCTTCTAATAATGATGAGAAAGCGCAATAGGTGTAGAAAATTTAAGAAGATTGAAGAAACCTTATTTGTTAGTTATAACAGCTGATGTATGACATTCAATATGTATTATATTAAAATGTGTTACAGTTGCATAATCAGGTGTTTTTCGTGTTTTAGCTTCAAATGATTCAATATCAACTATTTTTTTGTAAATATATAAATAGCTAAAACCTTAAATATTTTTGATACTGTTGCTGATGATGCTGATAAATTTTTGTTTCTCGTTACTTTTGTTAAAGGGTGTGGATGTGGATGTGGATGTGGATGTGGGTGTGGGTGTGGGTGGGTGTGGGTGTGGGTGTGGTGAGGATATGGATGTGGGTGTGTGGATGTGAGTGTGGGTATTGAGTATAAGTATGGGTGGGTGAGGGTCCGTTTGAGTGTTCCTCATCCCTGCACACGCACTGCCAACACCCACACCCA